GGGGGGGCGTGTCTCTGTTACATATGACTACATGAATTTCTAACTGGCACTTTGACAAATAAAATCAAATGGCACCTGAATTATAGTTGACATTTACCGTTGAAAAAGGAAGGGCTTGAAGGAGGTGCGTGCTTCTTGAATGAGATAGCATATGCTTGGCGCCCCTCCTGGCACACAGTAGGCACTTGGCGCGAGTGAGCCTCTTTGCCGCCTTCCTGTGTCAGGCGGGGGCAGTGGGCTGGAGAGGAAATGTCCTTGGGGCCACCGCCAGGAGCGGGGAACGGAGGTGAAAGCAGGTGAGCCGGGAGCGCCAGCGCGGAGGCCAGGCACACGGGGAGGCGCTCTGCCGCCTCGGAGCCAGGCCAGGCGCTGACACGGGGAACTGGTTTAAGGGCCCGTCTCCCCGCTCCTGGCTGAAGGCTGCTACCAGTTCAATTGGCCAAGATGAAAGAGTAAAAGGAATGTCATGAGGTTTTCAAAACCTGGGCCTTTGGCACCAGCTTTATTTATTTAAGGGTCTAAAAGATTTTTTAAGCCCCAGTGGCAGTCTAGGACAGGTTTTGGCTTGGGGTGAAAAATTGGAAGGAAGGTGGATAAACGAACAAACAAAAATCAACCCAATAAAAAATAACGATTTCGGGACCACCTACATAGCTGCGGGGCTTATTTTTTTTTTCTTTTATAGAATGAAGTTGCCTCGGCTCGAGGATCCAGGATTCAATAGCTCCATGTCACCCCTGCCCTGGGTTTCCAGGCCCCTCTGGGCAGGGCTGATGGGGAAGGCCTCAAAGTAGATCTAGTCCAAGGTTCTTCCACCTTCTGCTTGAATCCTTCCAGGGATGGGAAGCTCATTCCCTACTTACATGGACCATTTCAGCTTTGGATAGTTCTGCCAATTATCATGTTAGTGGCGGAAAAGTGGCATCAGGTATTACCCTCCATTCAGCCACCTCAGTTCTTGAGTTTTGGCTAAGACAAATTATAATAAAAAGTTTATTTAGAAAGTCACAGAGGTAGAAGAAGTGAGCCGTAGAAGAAATGGGCTCAGGAAACAAGTTATAGTAAAAAAGAGCCGTTGGAGCTTAGAAGAGGGGGGGAGGGGGAGAAGGTGAGAGGGGGGAAAGACAAGAGGGGGGGAGAACACAACACCCTGGGGAAAGAAGGGGGTAGGAAAAGGTACGAACCTGCTCCATAGAGAGAGCCTTGCTGGGTCCTCCACCCTGAGGGCTTCTATCTGAGGTCTCAGGGGAAGATCTCAATAGAATATTCATCAGCTTTCCAGGCGTGTCTCCTCAGAATCGTGGTCTCCCCTGATTGCTGGGAGCCAGGGGCGGGGGTCATTAGTCAGTGCAGCCGGTCCTGATGTCAGCCCCTGCTTCACTCTGCCTGGTTTCGCTGCTTCTCCGGGCCCGGAGCTGAAACACAGCTGAGGCCTAGATGTCATCTCCAGAGTTAATACTTAAGGGAGTGGTCTTGCCAGGGCTTGTTGTTTCGCCCATTGCCAGGCACCCCGGGCTCTCCACCCTGGTAACCCTCTGCACCCGGCCCATCGTTCCTACTCTGTCCATGCCCGTCTACTGCCTACTCCAATAAGGTCATTTACTGTACTTGGTAGGAATCTGTGCCCCTGTGGCACGCTCCCATTGGCATTGGAAAACAATGAGAGTAACCGCCTGTGGCAGCTGTGTGCGCATGCCAAGTACTGAGCACCTCTCAGGTTTGACCTCATTTAGTCCACATAACCACCCTGTAGAGTAGACACTGTTATTACCACCCTTTTGTGGAGGACACTGGTGCTCAGAGAGGTTCAGCAACTTGTCCAGCATCACACAGCCGGTAAAGAGCTGAGCTGGGATTCAAACTCAGGCATGTCTGAGTCCCTTCTCTTAACTTATATCACGCCGCCTCCTATGAGAGCTCATCTTATGTATTTAAAGACAGCTCTCATGCCCCCCCGCCCTGGGCTTCCTCTTTCTACTCTAAACATTCCTGTTCTTTCAACAATTGCTTGTGATGGATCTGGGAATAGACACGTGGCCCGTTTATGATGAAAGGGACTTAAAAACAGGCCTGCAGTGTGAGACCGGCAAAGATTTTCTTCCCACCCTTCCTGTCTCAGATTCAGTGTGTGGGAACAGTGTGTGGCATGGCACTGTCACAACCACAAAGGAGTGGGGAGAGGTTTGTAGAGATGTCGCTGGGGTGTCCTGACCGCACTGAGCCGATGCCCCTGAATCGTCTCCCTCGGACTCCTGCGCTGAGATATCTGGGTGTCTTTAGAGTGATGCTTCTCCCACTGGAACAAGTGCCAGAATCCCCCCCGAGGCCTGTTAACACTCAGGGTACTGGGCGACCTCCAGAGGCTCTGCCTCAGTAGTCTGGGCAGAGGCCCGAGAATCTGCATTTCTATCAAGTCCTAGGGCCATTCAACGGGGTTTCTGTTACCTGCAGCCAAAAGCGTTCCAACCGGGCAAATAATTACCATCACCTGAACATGCACTAGGAGCACTTCTATCTACACCTCACTTAATTTAATCTACACAGCTAGGAGGTGGCTGTGATAAATTTCCATTTTATAGATGACCAGCCAGAGGCCCAAAGAGGCAAGTTGACTTGTCTGAAGCCCCGCAGCTGGTGAGAGGCCTCCCAAGTCTGTGTTCTCTGTCCCTGTGTCACCGTGTGTGGGAGCACCCTGTCAGCGGGTCCCCAAGCAGTGTGGTTTGGGCTCGAGGTACTAAGCATTTAACCTGAAGTTACACAACTCTTGCAGGCCTTTGCCTCATCTCGGATAAATTCTGCAAAAAGGAAACACCAGCCCCTCTCTTCCTCCCCCCTGCCTCCCCCAGCAGCCACTGAAATACACACGCTGGAGGTCTGGGGATGAGTAGCTGGGGCACAAGTGGTGGCATCCGGGGGTATCAGAACGGGAAGGCTGAGGAAGGCTGCAGGTCCTGAGGGAGGAGGACTGGACTGGGAGGCTCTTCAGTGCCCTGGGGGACCTGCCAGTGGGGGGCCCTTTCTATGAACTTGGCCACGCTATTGTCAGAAACCAGTGTTTCCCAAACATTAGTCATTATTATCCAGTCTCGTGATTTTGGCAATCTGTACACACAACTGGTTACTTAATATTTTTAAATTACCATCTAAAAAGCCTTAGCCATATTTATTAAGGAGGAAAGCTTCCCCACCATCAATGAAAAAGAGCAGCATTTGTCATAAATAGAGGGACTGTGAAAGCAACGGCAGAGCACTGATGGTGAGAGGAGAAAGGTCCGCCAGGTGCCCCCATAGTCACTCGTGGGCGTTGGAGCACACGGGGACACATGACTGCAATCCCATGAAACGGTGATGCCTGGGAAGAAGGTGACTGTTATAGACTGAATTGCGTCCCCCCTCCCCAAGTCCACATGTTAAAACCCTAACCCCCAATTTGACTGTATTTGCAGATGGGGCCTTTAAGGAGGTGATTAAGGTTAAATGGGGTCATAAGTGGGACCCTGATCCAGCAGGACTGGTGTCCTTATACGAAGAGACGACAGGGATGTACGTACAGAGAAAGGAATACAATCAAGAAGGTGGCCATCTACAAGCCAAGGAGGGAGGCCTCAGGGGAAACCAGCCCTGCTGGCACCTTGATCTTGGACTTCCAGCCTCCAGAACTGGGAGAAATATAATTCCATTGTTTAAGCCCCCGAGTCTGTGGTCTTTTGTTATGGCAGCCCAAGCTGATTAAGACAGGGACAGAATGAGGTTGAGCCTGTTGCCACTCACCACTCAGAGTAGGACTAGGGGACGAGCAGTGTCAGCGTCACCAGGAGGCCCCAATGCACGCCTGCTGGACCAGAATCCGCATTTTGCCGAGTGCGCCCCACCCCGTGTGATCCGCATACTTTAAGTGCCATCTCTTCCCATTTGGCAGGTGGAGGTCCCCAGAGGTTCCAGAAATACCGCAGTAATTAGCATCTCCACGCCACATTCCTTAAACAAAATAGGTGACAGCCTGCGAGGGGGTTTCAAACGTTGGACTCCACAAACTGTTCAGATTTGTCCATAAAAGATACATCACAGAAATGTTTTAGAAATCAAACCAGTTTTATTGAAACAACAGCAACGTGGTCCCTGTTCATGCAAAGCACAAAATATTTTTTTACAGTAAACGTTTGTACATTGGAAGTAGTAAAATACATCATTTTTCATAGAAAAAAAGCACACATGTAAGCTGCGGGCTGAGTGAGCCTACAGACAATATGACATCTCAGAACACGTGGGATAGAAATCTGGAAGAAACTGAAACTTTTCATCACAGGGGCAGGAGACCCAGAAACACTGTTGGCCTGATTCACCATCTTTTTATGGGTTAAGCGCCGATGTCACAATGGGCACTGTTAAACACAAAATTAGAGGGGTCCCTGGTTTCCAGGGCTTATAATTTGTAGTCTTAGTTTTCATTTACAGAAGAAAAATGGTTCCAGTTTCAAAATGTTCTTGAGGATGAAAACGACACAAGATCTGGCTCTGGGTGAGGCCTTTCTATGCTGTTCATCCGATGGGCCTGCTTAATGAGGCATCTGGGAACCCGGGAACGTAACCTAAAATGATGCGGTCTACTCACTCTGGAAGCTTCAGATTCTGCCTCGGGCAGGAGGCTTCAAAAGCAAACCCACTGGAAGTCCCCTGGGCTGTCACTAATTCTAAAAGCCCAACCTGGCAGGCTGGACAGAGCACACACAGCCACAGCCACAGAATAGCCAGAAGTGTCCAAGTACTCAGATCTTTGCAGATAACCAGACACAATATCTGACAGGCTGACCAAATGCTTTCACTCTGACATTTGGGGTTGAATAGTCAGAACCTATGAATTACTACAAGTCCACAATGCACACAGCAAAAACACGGCCCCACTAATTTCACTTCTGTCAAGTGAAGAGCTTCATTACTTATACAAACCCCCTAAAGGGGGAAGGGGAGGAGCTATTTACCTTCCGGTTTTGTATTAATTAAGAACGCACTCCACAATGCACCAGTTGTGTTTTTGCTGTTTTGTTGTTTCCTTTCCTGCTGACTCCTACGCCTTTGAAATATTTTGATGGGGAGTGAAATCAAATTTGAAACTGGTGTTCACAAAAGTGATCTATTGGCCAGCCTGGTGCTGGAGGGTGGAATTTTACCTTCTATAAAGAAATGCTATTTACAAAGGGGTATTTTATTTCACTGTGGGTTTTGGTCTGGGCTTATGAAGAACTTTTATAAAGTGATGGAAGCCAGAGAGCACCACACTCCTCGGAGCCTGAGGAACATTTGGCAAGAGTTGTTCCACAAAAACAGGAAGAGGAATCCTTCTAGAGTGTTACTCTCTCTTGTGGTTATTACGCCGCAGGACGATTTCATAACCACAGGCTGTTCCTCTTCCCAGAGCTGCTAACCTCGGTGAAGAAGGTACTAAGGAATCTATTCCTCCCACTGCTAAAAAATAGGTCGTCTGAAAGAAGGTGAATCTGCATGTTTAATTGTCATTTTTAAAAAGCAGCAACCAAACAGCTCTTCTTTGGCTGTTCTTAGACACCTTTGTGAAACCAACAGAGACTAGTTTAAAAAAAAAAGAAAAAAAAGTGGGCTTCAAACAGAATCGCTTGCAAAGCAAAGACCCTGGTGTGAACTATGACACATAAACTAGTCTGGGCTGGCATGTGAGCCACAATGGGTAGGGGGTAAAGAAAGAATCCTGGTTCATTAGTCCTCAATGAGACCAAATGTCACGGCAGCAGACAGACGGCCACGTGGACGAAGGGAAGGACAAAGACAAGATAAATCTCTGGAGTTACTACTGAACTCTAAATAAACCAGCACTGCTGTATATAGAACCAGCCTGCTCGTGGCAGGACACCAGCTAGGACAGGTGCCAGGGCAGAGCCTGTGTCTCACTTCCCCAGCCCCCTGTTCTGGCCCATTTGTCTGACCAGCAAACATTAAACTCATTTTTCTCCATCGGTAGGAACGGACTGTGCTTTTAATTTTTTTTTTAAATAACTACCTTCTACCCCATTCCTGAAACTCCCCCTGGGTGTGCTCAGTATGCCTTTTCCTGCACCCCTGACGGCCTCACCCTGGGATCCCCGAGTCTGGTGCTCTCTCCGTGGGAATCCTCTCTCCTCCCACCAAAGAACACATAGGAAGGACCACCTTGGGTGACTGTTGTGCAGAGGGGGCACCGGATGGAGGCCATCAAGCCTCAGCAGGACCAGTCACCAGTTGTTCGGCCAGGCCTGGGAGGATGCTGTTTCTCCACGGTGCAGAGATGAGACAAAGGCACAAAGGATGTGACACTGAACACCACTCAAAAGAAGTTTCTTGCCACTCCGTATCCCCAGCCCACCCCCAAATGATAAAATAAAAATAAAAAGCAAAACCCAGAAGCCCTCTGGAAGACCCCCCTTTTCCCCAGCACTGGAAGTTCACGGCCTGACAGCAAAGATCCGGAAGGCCTTTCCATCCTGAGGGGTATTCAAGCTGCAAAAGAAGGGAGAGGGCATGTTATCTATAGAAGGCAGATTTCTACAGTGACTTGAGCTGGGAAGGGAGAGCTGGGCGCCCCTCATGTCCCCGCTATGGAAGAACCACGGCCGAGGGACACTTCCCCACAGCTGCTGGAAACAGAGTCTGCCCCAGCCAAGAACAGCTGGCAAATTCTGTTCTCTTTGCCTGGGTCTGAATCTAGGTCAGGGCTGTTAAGTTATTTTCTTTTAACTCTGGGATTTACTGGCCCCAGTCTGTCTGAATTGAATTCACCCTCCAAGACTCCTGCCTGGTTTTTGCTAACACCTGTCAACCCAAATAGTGGCCATCTGGCTGACCGATTAATAGGATGGCATTATAACAACAATGCAAGTGCTGCTGTTATTCAAAGGGGCACACAATTGCGCTCAGATTTTATGCCGAGCCCTGTGCAAAGTACTTTGTATATGCCTTTTTACCTTCCTCCCCAGGTAGGTACCATTAAGTATCCCATTTTGCAGGCAAAGAGATTATGCATTCACCTCCACAATCCAGTTTTAAATCACCACAATCACCCCTGAGAAGATCTTTCATGCCCATTTATAATCAGTTCCCCTCCTCCCAGCCTCTGGCAACGTCTGTCTCTATGGATTTGCCTATTCTGGACATTTCATGTGAATAGAATCCTACACTGTGTGGCCTTTTGTGGCTGGCTTATTTCACCTAGCATAAGGTTTTTGAGGTTCATCAATGTTGTAGCATGACTGGTACTTCATTCCTTTTTTATTGCCAAATAATATTCCATGATATGGATTTACCATATTTATTTATCCATGCTTCAGTTGATAGACATTTAGATTCTTTCCACCTTCGGCTATTATAAATAATGCTGCTATGAACATTTGTGCACAAGTGTTTGTATGGGCTTTTTTTTTCAATTCTTTTGTGTGGATACCTAGGTGCAGAATTGCTGGGTTGCATGTTAAATGGCCTGTTCGATTTCTTAAAAAACTGCCAAGCTGTTTTCCACAGTGGCTGCACCATTTTACATTCCCACCAGCAATGCATGAGGGGTCCCAGCGTCTTCACACCCCCGCCACCATTTGTTATTATCCGCCTGACAGCCATCGTTAGTGGCTGTCTGTACATAGAGAGCTTTCCCAGGCTTTTTATTCAACTGCATAGTATTCTATTCTATTAAAGTATCATAATATAGTTAACTGAGTCCTTTTTATAGATATTTGGTTATTTCTAATCTTTTGTTTTTGCAAACAGTGCTAGGGAGGACAACCTTGTCCATGACTTTTTGCATAGGTATGGGAATGCCTGGGGACAGGCTCCTAGAGGTGAAATTGTTGGATCAAAAGATGTGGGCATTTGTAATTTGGGGAGCCTGCCAAATTGCCCTCCATAAAGGTTGTACCAATTGACAGCTCCCATCAACCATGCGGGAGGCACCCTGTTTAACCCGCAGGCTTGCCAGCACAGCAGATCATCTAGCTTTCTGTTCTCAGCCAATCTAAACTGGGGAATGGCATCCAAATACAGTTTTAATTTACATTTTGCTCATTACGAATGAGTTTGGGTGTAAGATGAAAGCCCAGCCACGGTTTAAGCATGATTTCCTTAGAGTCCCCCTTCTAGATTGAAAACTGCCGGACTAGACAGCTGGCCTTGCCCTCTCAGACAGCTTGGAAGTCAGGAATCCTCGGGGGACAGGCTGCTGGGAATTCCTCTTTTTCCCCCTTTCCCCGTGGCAGCTTCAGGCTTTTGGCTACCCTGGAATTGAACTTTTGAAACGCGGATCAGATAGGAGCCCTTGGCGAGATGGAGCTGTGAGGAAAGGCCAAGAGCCCAGAAATAGCAGAATGCTTGGCCCTGTGGCCTCAGAGCCAGCTGTCCCCACCGGACCACATGGAAGGAGACTGGCCATGCAGGGGCTGGGGTTACCCCGGCTGCCCTTCTGGTTTCTAGAGAGCTCAGATTCCAGGGCCTTCCTCAGGCCTCTGGGCTGCAAGATTCCCCTGGATTCTTTGCCCAATGAATAGTCTGGGAGAACCACCCAGAGCCACAAGGCACTTGGCTCTTCAACATGGTGGGCAAACCACACTGGGGAAAATGAACAGGGTTTGGGTCTCCTCTGACTTCCTACTGCAAATTCTATGGATGGGGCAGGGGGTTCTCCCATTCCCAGGGCCCCAAACAGCCCAGGGACAAGGGGGCCATTCAGGCTGTGGTCCGGACAGGTACTCCAAGGTACCTAGATGTCTTGTCTGGACCTACCAAGTAGCCTCACTGAACAACTCATCCACCTCAGAGGCAAGAGCAGGCCCATTGAACTGGGTGTGTGTTTATTAACATATCAAACACTGTGCTGACTGCTGGAGGCGTCAATGTGACAATGCCAGGTGTCAGCCCACGCACTGCCTCAGGCCAAGAATCCTCCACTTCTGGGTTGCTCAAAAAACCTTTAGTGGGTCCATTTGTTCACGCCTCAAACATATACACTAAGCACCAGTCTCTCTAGGTAAGTTGACAGTTGTGCATATTTGAAACAAGTGTGATTTGAGAAATTAGAAAATAACCTATTTTTCTAAATCTTGCCCTCTGATTCTGTTTTTGGATAAGTTTGTAGCTCCCATACATATATGAAGGGAGTGTAATTGGCACAGCATTTCTGGGCAATTTTCATAAAAGGTATTTAACAATTTTAATTAAGAGTATTAAACAATTTTCATAAAGGGTATTAAAAATTCCTCAATCAGTTCTGAACAAATTGCTGAACTCAGCAATTTGTCCTTCATTCACCAGGATTTACTGAGTGCCTACTATGTGCCGGGCACTGGGTTGGGTGTTGGGGACATGGGATTAACAAAAAATATGTGTATGCAATAATTTCAGAGAGTGGTGGGTCCTGGGAGGAAAATAAAACCCAGGGCAATGGGATCCCATCAGACCCGGGAGGAGGAAGGTGACTGTAGACTCAGTGGTAGAAGAAGGCTTCCTTGGGGAGGTGGCATTTGTGTGTAGGTCTGAATGGCAAGGGGCACCCAGCCATGGGAATATATAGGAGCTGTCCAGGGCTGGGTAAAGCATGAACAAAGGCCCTGAGGTAAGAATGATCTTGGCATGTTCAAGTAATAGAGAGAAGGCTAGTGAGGTGAAATACTGTAATGAGGAGGAGCAATGCACCAAAAGAGGGTGCAGAAGTGGGCAGGGCTGGCAGCTGGCGTGACCTTGCTTGGTAAGGGGAAGGGAGCTTGTTCTCGTTGAATGGAAAGCCCCTGGGGGCAGGGTTTAAACAGGAGAGAGATACTGTGCATCGTACAAAGAGATCAATTTGGCGGCTGTGGCTATTCTACCAAAAGGAAGCTCCCTAAAGAAACTGTCAGTAAAGCACACGGGCTTGTGCAAAGATGTTCTTTGCAGTGTTATTGCAGTAAAAAAAAAAAAAGAGGAAACAACACAGATGCCCATCCACTGGGTAAGGAAACAATGGTCTGTCCACACAAGACAATAGTGTGCAGCCGCTGAAGCGATGGTGTGGCTACATCAAACCTGCCTTGGAAAGACATTCACCACCTGTGGCTGACTGCAAAGAACAATTAACAGAACAATACAGACACTATGGTCCCATTTTATAAAAAATTAAAAATAAGGTGTTTGGAAGAAAACATAGCAAAATGTGCATAGTGGTTCTTTCTGGGTGTTGCAGCTTCAGTGATAGTAATTTCTTAAAATTAGTTGCAGTAGTTTTTGAAGTTTCTCTAATCTTATTTTAAAAGGAAGGAAGGAAGGAAGGAAGGAAGGGAGGGAGGG